CCTGGGTGGTGAGTGCTGTAATTGCCCATTTTTTAAATGAGGAAACTGAGGCACAAAGAAGTTAAGTAACTTACCCAAGATCATACAGTTGCAGGATAGAACTTTATAGTATCTGCAAAGTTCTTTTTGTAAAAAAAAGACATGATTTTATGATTTACTTATCCTTGTTTTTATTTTTATTTAAGCATAAATGGTGAAAATTTCCTGTGAAGCATAAGAATCCCTGATTGTGGAAGTGTCCCACAAGCACCGTTAACTGTACAGTAAGGAAAAATATGAAAGAACCATCTGGTTGAGTCTAAAGTTTGAAGACCACCACATCCACCAGAAGACCCAGGATGGATCTGCACCAAAGCACCACCATCACCTTCCTTGAGAAATGGTGTTTGGATGAGTCACTGTCTGGCTGCAGGAGGCATTATAATGTCAGGAAAAAACTGAAGTTAATTCGAATCTTGGGCCTTTTCATGGGCCTGGTAGCCATTAGCACTGTCTCACTTTCAATCAGTGCCTTTTCTGAGACAGACACACAGAGCACAGGAGAGGCCAGTGTTAGTGGCCCTAAGGTAGCACGCAGTTACCATCAAAGAACTCTCTTAGATTTCAATGACAAGATTCAGGATTATACTCCACAGCCACCTCATTCTCAGGAAGGCAAATCTGAGAATAGTACAGATCATGCCCAAGGAGACTATCCTAAAGACATCTTTTCCCTTGAAGAGAGAAGAAAGGGTGCCATTATTCTCCATGTCATTGGAATGATCTACATGTTCATAGCCTTAGCCATTGTCTGCGATGAATTCTTTGTTCCTTCTTTGACTGTCATCACTGAAAAACTGGGCATCTCTGATGATGTGGCTGGAGCCACCTTTATGGCTGCGGGGGGGTCAGCCCCAGAACTTTTCACATCTCTCATAGGGGTATTTATTGCTCATAGCAACGTTGGCATAGGCACAATCGTAGGTTCGGCAGTGTTCAATATCCTCTTTGTTATTGGCATGTGTGCTCTGTTTTCTAGAGAAATCTTAAACCTGACATGGTGGCCACTCTTTCGGGATGTGTCCTTCTACATCATTGACTTGATCATGCTGATCATATTTTTCCTGGATAATTTTATCATGTGGTGGGAAAGCTTGTTGCTCTTAACAGCTTATTTTGGCTATGTGGTTTTCATGAAATTCAACGTCCAAGTAGAAAGATGGGTGAAGCAAATGATACATCGCAATAAAGTCATCAAGGTGACAGCACCAGAAGCCCAAGCAAAGGTTAGTGGTGGTGTTTATTTAATTCTCTTCTTGACCACAGTTCTGAATTATTATGTTTTTGAGATCTACAAATTTTTTTATGTGATGGTGTTTGGGGCTGTAGTGGATAGCAGATTGCATTCTGCAGTTCTGTAATAGTTAGACAAACATGGCAGTGGAAAAAATAATTTGGGTATTCTTATAGATGTCTACTAAGTTGCCCAGCTACTTGCTTCAGAGTAAAACATTTGTAGATATAGGTTATGTAAGCATTTCAGAGCAGACTCAGCAGTTACTTGTCTCTTATTTCCCGAAAGTAGATGTAATAATTTTTGTGAACAATTTATTTTTCATGGGAAAATGTATGTGTGCCTAGCAAGTTGCAGGGCTTTTTCTTTTTAAATGGACACTTGACAATTATCAAGAAAAATCTCTTTAAAGATGTTTAGGGAATAAAGTTTGTTTGTGTCACCAGAGCTGTACCCTCAAGTCACCAGCCTAGGGCCCAGCAGATCTGGTCTTTAGAGTGGTCATGACCGTTTTTCTTGATCAATATGATCATGTTTCAAATCACTTGACCAGAAACTATTCAGTATCCATTGTAAGGAGAGTCATTGGACAGCCCTGTCACCTACCTCTGTATCTCAATGGCCCATTTTGCATGACATAAGAAACATGACCCAAAATATTTTTATGGTAGAATTTGAGGGAGTTTTAATAATAATATTTACCATATTACCACTTAGATGCGAAGCAAATGGGTAAAGAGTTTAGAAGACATTGATCTGCAAAAATGTAAATTATTTTTTAAAAATAATGAATAAGCAACATCAATAAAATGGTATGTTGTATTGTAATGCAGTTCTGATTTGTATCTTAACAGTAGAACATCATTTCTGAATGTGATTTTAAACAGAAAACCAAAATACATATTCAGATTTTTCATGCTAGCATCTAGGAAAACTCTCATGTGTGCAAAAAAACAGATGTTTGAGTAGGGAGTAAGAGATTATTTCCAGAAAGAAAAGAAAAAATGATATTAATTAAGCTAAATTTATATAATTTCTTCATAGTAAAGTTTGACCATCATTTTTGTAGCAGCCACGAAATGAATGCAACGTGCAGGAATAAACACTGGTAATATTTCTATTACATGCAAATGAGAAATGTTTTATACTACATTTCTTCTAACATTTCCCTCGGTGTATGGTTGGTTGTTAGAAACTGTAAGGAAAAAAATCACTTAGCAAAATATATGGCAAACAAGCATGAAGTTGTGACAACTGAGTACATATCCTTCAGAGCATGACAGGGCCGTCATTGGAGCCTTCCTGCTCTAACTTAGCAGTAAAAAAGATGATCCCTAAAGCCCTCTGCTCAAGTGCATTTGAGTGGTTTGCATTAAAACTCTCTATGTTTATTCCAATTAGAATACTGAACAATTGTCAAGGAAAGGCATATTTTTTAGAGGCAAGGAAATGACTCGATGTCTTATAAATATCCTGGGCACACCAAGAGTAATAAGTCTTTTTGAGAACTCAGTACTTTTTTGTTTTGTTACACCACACTGGAACTTCATTAACTTAGATGCAGACTCAGCTGAAGGTTATATTGGCAACATTTATGAAAAATGAATTTTCAGAGCAATCCAGTGTATATGTAAGATTGCAGGAGGACTTCATATTCTGATTTTCGTGGGGGTGGGGATGGGAACTAGTTTCATGCATTTGGGAAATAACTTTTTAAATTCAGGTTACAGACCATGTTTAATCAATTGTAAAACACTCATTAAAATAGACCTGGCAGGACTTTACCTATCAATTAGGTGACTATCCGGTCATTTTTACAATAATGTATAAGTCAGCAGTTCAGGCTGACATTCCTTAACAGTTATTCATGTCCATAATTTTGTGCTATGCTTAATATTGTATGTTTTTAAATTTGGGAATTCTGGATTTACCTAATTACAAAAGAAAGCGTGTTCATAGCTATTTCTCCTGTTCTGATTTTCCCCCAAAATGTGTCCTTTGCATTATTTTCTTTTTAGCACCCAATTGTTTTATTTCATTTAATCTTTATTGTTTCCTTCGATAACTAGAATGAACTGTAAATTCTCATGGGAGTAGAGTTGTTTTTTTTTAAACACAGCTACGTCTTATTTGGTATTCCTCAAAAATGCTAGAGCACAGTCATACATTTTTAGGTGTAACAGCACATAATGATGCATGATTTTCTTCAGGAAATTTCACCTTGCCAATTTCACTTTTGAATCATAGCTGGAAAATATTTTTTCAGCAATGACAGCCTTTATCATATACCTGATTTTAGAACCTTACAGAGGTTTGCTCCCCAAGCACTGAAAATGAGTTGTCCCAAAGAGGATGAGCCCTTGAGTGTGGCCCACCTTTCCTACAAGAGTCAGTGCTTCTGATGACATCAGAACACTTAAAAAAAAAAAGGCCCTAAACTAAATGTGGCCCTCAATGGAGTCTTCATAGAGAGAAATGTGTTGCACACAAATTTAGGAAGCAAAATTCTAAGCATGTTTTCATGCAAAGCTACCTCATTGTCTTATTTGCATAATTATGGGATTCGGGAGTTTGGGAAAGTGGAGGAAAACACATTTTAGATATTCTTGCACAAATCGTCAGATGGTGCTTGCTACAAAATCATCAACTTTGCTGGACTCTAAGTAGTGAAATATCTTTGAAACTACTTACTTCATAGACAAGTTGAAAATCTTAGTCCAGACCCACTATTGATGATATATGTCCTGGGGCAACTGTGAAGCATGGGAAAATATCAACTGGCTTTTTTTTTCATAAAGTAATAGTTTCTAATGTCATTTAATTGCTCTATCCTCTGTGAGATTTTTTATTTTGTTGTTATTATCACTATTATTTCTTTTAGTGATACTGTTAGCTTTTTAAAAAAGTTGTGTAGTGTCAGGACATGGTAGAGAGACCCTGAGGTTTGACTCTGGGAGAAAAGTGTTTTAAGCCCAAGTGTGTAGTAAGTCCAGTGACCTCAGAGGAGTCACTTAAATAAACTCTCTGGGCCTAAACTCTGTTTCCTAATTTGGAAAATGAAAGTAATAATACCTATATTGTATGGTTGGGAAAATTATTAAATGAAGAAATGAATGTTAATCATCTAGCATGGTGTTTGGCAAATGTGGGTTGTTCAGTAAATGTTAGTTTCCTTCTTTTTATGTTCTGATCTTACATAAAAAGTGAATCAGAATAAACTAATTGATTTGAGAATTATAAAACATTCTTTGAAGATTGAATTTACTCCAATAAATCGTTGAGTTGAGCAGGTCATTGTACCCATTAGAGGCATATGGTATTTGTCACATTATAATATTCATAAGTCCTTGTTCACATACATTGAATATGTGCAGTCCAAATATTATCATAAACTCCAAGGAAACCTCCAAATGCCTTTTTGTCCTGAAATTTTATTGTGTAAGATTTTGCTTGAAATAAGTAGGCCATTGGCTGAGGTTTAGAAAGTATCTGTGCTAAGCATAGACTTTTGTTTCAAGGGTATTTTTATTTATAAATGATTGGGGCTTTCCTCTTAAAACCTCTCTATAGCTGCCTAGAAATACATTTGAATCCTGCAGAATGTGAAGCAGTGGAATTTCAGGGTGTCCAGTGCATTTTGCTGCGTGCCTGGCCCAGCTGCTGTGGTCCCTTGTTCTGTTTGGAGCTAGGCTGTCACTGGCCTAGAAAGCAGCTGTCCATGGTATTTAACTTCTTCTTAGATTTGGCACTGTAATCCGACAGCAAGTTGGCCCGGTTCTAATGAAGGGAATGATCTAAATAAAGATGCTTAAAGCTGAATAGTTTAAGAGCCAGACTACTTAGTAACTTAGGTGTGTCTTGCTTTTTTCAGTTCATATGCTCCTGAAAAGTTGTAAACAGAGGTTTTGCAATTCAAATTGTTATTAATGTTCTTGGGAATATCAGAACTAAAGCAATATTATAAATATTCCTCATAAAACTAAGTATTTCCTGCAACGTATTACACTACAAATAATTTTATAACTGCACATGTATATCCCCAAGCTTGCTTAAGACACAGAATCTACTACAAAACTCAACCTTTGATCCCCCTCTAAACGAGTAAATAGTAAAATTAATGTGCAAGCCTCAAGGAAGGTAATATTGTCCTTATAATAAATAAAAGGATGTATTACTTGATAGATTTAGAAACTAATTCTCTGTCTTTCTCAAAAGAAAGGAAATTGAGGCATTGATATTCTTAACTGACTAGATGTCTGTGAATGTAGTAGGTTTATCTAGGGATACCACATGATAATATTTTCCTTATTTTGTTTCCCTCTACATATATTAAAAGCAAAGCCATCAGTTACTGCTTGTGAGTCAGAGAGTTGACAGATCCTTCTAAGAGACCCAAAAGAGCCCAGTGGATTTTCCTACACACAGTTCAAATTGCTCTTGGCCATTCCCTTTGCTACTCTGGTTTTCCCTGGCGAGAGACGACTTAAACTTTGTGACTCTTTCTGGCAACATACAGAACAGGGAATTATAACATCCCTCCCTTCCTCCCTCCTCTCTTCCTCTTCTCCATCCCCCTCACTTTTCCCTCCGCTTTTATTCTATTTTCTTTCTCCTTTTCTGTTTTTGTTTTGTTTTGTTTTTTGGTGGTTTTTTGTTGTGGTGGAGTTTTTTTGGTTTTTGGGGGTTTTTTTGTTTTTTGGTTTTGGGGTTTTTTTTGTAGAACTAGATAATTTGTATTTTAGCTTTAACAAAGAATGGCATTGTTATGTTCAGCTTCTTTCTGGCTGTTGGGGACACAAGTACATCTACAGTGTGGATTTAATAGGCTTAGTTTTTCTGTTCTTTTATTGTCAACCTTTTATTTCAGATAAGTCTGTAGTAAACAGAATATAGCTGCATTTTGTTTAATTCAGTTTGACAATCATTGTCTCTAACTGGGAAGTTTAGTCGTTTACATTGATTGTGATTACTGTTACATTTGTATTCTTTTCT